CATTTAGGTCTAGAATGATGTCTGCCAAGTTTCGTGAAAATCGGCCCAGATTTAGATATAGCTCCCATATATTGTTTCGTCCGATTTCATGTAAATGGTGCCCAAAGTCCCAATATATCTTTTGATTTGCACGAAATTTGGCATAACGCACTGAATTAAGCCTAGAGTGATATCTGCCAAGTTTGGAGAAAATTGGTCCAGATTTAGATATAGCTCCCATATATAGTTTCGTCCGATTTGATGTAAATGATCTACCAAAGTCGCTAAATATCTTTCGATTGGCACGAATTTTGGCATGACGTACTGAATTGAGTCTAGAATGATGTCTGCCAAGTTTCGTGAAAATAGGTCAAGATTTAGATATAGCTCCCATATATAGTTTCGTCCGATTTCATGTAAATGGTGCACCAAAGTCCCTATATATCCTTCGATTTGCACGAAATGCATTGCACGGAATGATGTCTGCCAAGTTTCGTGAAAATCGGTTTGTTTGAAATCGCTCAATATTTGGATAGAGCTTCCATATATATTTTCGCCCGATTTCAAGTAAATTGGGCATCAAACTCCTCATGTTAGTCAGATTGACATCAAATTTTGCACAACTTACAAAATTGAGCATAGAATTACCTAGTTGCGTTTTCTAGAAGTGCAGACATAGCCCAACGGATGACCTATTTATATTTGTTTGAAGTCGATTGACATACTTTATGGATAGATCTAGGTAGATTCACATTTAGATAAATATCACATTTTTATTTTGTTTCATCCAATTTTATGTTATAGTCCTGTTTAATATACCCATAGTGGTGAAGGGTATCATATAGTCGGCCCCGTCCGACTTTACTACTTTCCTTACTGGTTTTTAAAATATTTTTGTAGAGTCTATCGTAAGGCGTAATTTTATTAATAATATTTTTTAGTATCTATCCTAAGGCGTGGATTTTTTTTAAATATTTCCTTATCGATTTTAGGAATTTCGAATGTCCATCTCATAATGGAGGGTATAAACATTTCGGTTCGGCCAACATAACGAAGTTTTTACTTTTTTATCTTATTTTTTAATTTCTGTACTTAAATGAAGGCTAATTACATTTCATATTTCAAAATTATATATAAACGAAGTTGCTGCAGCATTTTCAACATAATGCCAAATAATTGTAAAGTTAGAGATATAGCAAACAACAACAAAAATAATAATGAATGGAATTTGCATAATCTTAATATAAAAATAGTTTATCCTCCAATGTTTTTAATAACCGCGTTACTTTTTTGCAATTGCAATTTACATTCACTTTTTGTTTCTGCTCCTCCATGCCGGCTCTTCCGTGGGGATCTTAATTTGTAATTTAGTTTGTAAGACAGTTTACTTTATTATAATGGTGAACGTATTTTTTCCAAAACAATGCAGAAATTTATAGATAATAATAATATAATTTTTCTTACAAATTGCCATGAGAAACAAAGTGTTGATGATTTAGATTCCAAAAAATGTTTTAAAAGATTTAAATGTTCGACTTTCTCATCATTTTTTTTTTTTTTTTTGGAAAAATGAAGGACCACAGCATGACGAGTAAACTTAAAATGATGGAGTTGTTTGTTTATTTTTAATTATTTTTCGTCATTTTTGGTACTTTTTGTTTTTAATGGTGATAAGAAATCTGTTTTTTTTTTCTTTTAAATGAATCTCATTGTCATAATTTTTTTATAACACCCATTTGAAATAATTTTATTTTTTGTGTGTGATTTTTTTCTTCATCTTCTTTAATTTTTTAAACATGATGACAGATAATCTCTTGTGTTGATGGGTCGTCTATTATCAGTTGATAATTTTTGTGTGTGTGTTTCCATTTAGTATAATGGCTATATTAAAAAGAAATAATTTTTGTTTATATTATGAAAATTATTTTTAATAACTTCTTATAAACAACGCGATGCAATGTAACAAGTGTCAGACGTAATGTTTTACAAATCATTTTTTAAAGTTTACATAACAAAGTTTCAGACTTAATGTTTTACAAATCATTTTTTAAAGTTTACATAACCTCTAACTATGACATTAATGTTTCATATTCATTACGTGGTGAGGGGTAACCTCTCCCAAAATTTGATTTGAAAAATATATTGTTTTTCAATACGAATATTTTACTATTCAAGAATATATCCTTAAAATATGCATTTGCAGCTTTCGAAATATTTCAAGCTACAGTCATATTTCTATTATTCGAACTACCATTATTCAGAAAAAAATAATGGGGAATTCGAGATATTGAATTAATGAATTCGAAATTTTTTCTTCAATTTATAGAAGTCCGACTGTATAGCCAATTTACTGTGGGTATACAGTAGAACAGTCGAGAAGCTACATTCCTATAAATTTGCCAAAAAAAAAAACTGTTCACAGATAATATTTGATAAGCAAGTTTTTTGGGCATCGGTGTGCAAAACTTCTCGGAAATATTTACCCAGGTATTCCCCTTTTTTTCTATTTGTATATAACACTTTTCTATTTTGTATATTCATGTGGAGATGTTGCCGATATGTTTCGCATCAAATGTAGCGGGGGGAATTTATTTTTCATAAAATTTCTGACAGTACAGATTAAATGAAACATAATTTTTTTCTTTTAAGAAGATTTCGTACCTTTCTTTATATACAAATTTCTGAAAATCTCAATTTTTTTATAAAAAGTTTACGGGGACATTCTTGTTGAGATGTTGCCGATATGTTTCGCATCAAGTATTGCTAAGGGAATTTATATTTCATAACAACATTTCTGACAGCCTACGCTTGTACAGATAAAATGCTTTTAATAATTTGAAATATAATTTTTTTTATAAGAAGATTTCATACCTTTCTTTATATAAAAATTCCTGAGTTTCTCAATTTTTTATAAAAAGTTTACGGGGATATTCCTATTGAAATGTTGCGGATATGTTTCGCATCAAATGTTGCTAAGGGAATTTATATTTCATAACAAAATTTCTGACAGACTACGATTTTACATATAAAATACACAGATATTTTCAAATATAATATTTTTCTTATAAGAAGATTTCGTTCTTTTTTTTCTAAAAATCCTGAGATTCTCAATTTTTTATAAAAAGTTTACGGGGATATTCTTATTGAGATGTTGCCGATATGTTTGGCAGCAAATGTTGCTGACAGATGTCTTCTACAGATAAAAAGTTTTTAATATTTTTAAATATAACATTTTTCTTTCTAAGAAGACTTCGAACTTTTTTTATATAAAAACTCCTGAGATTCTCAATTTTTTATAAAAAATTGCAAACATGAAATGTTGCGAATATGTTTCGCAGCCAATGTTGCCGAGTGGCTCCACTTCTCATAGAGAAATTGCTCCCTTTCTTATTGATAATGTTGCTGTATTAAGTCCTATATATTTTTTTAAATAAGAAAATATGACTAGAGGCTATTCACCAAATAGACACATCTTTTATATGATTCTATTCATATCGGAAGTTCTTGAAAGAAAAAGATTATAAAGGACTTCTTTTTATAAAAAATTTGCTGAGATATTTTCTTTTTTCTTTCTTTTCTTATAAACATTTTGCTAAGGATCTAGCTTTTGTTTATGAAAATAGTTGCAAGACTATTTTCCAATTGGAAATGTTATCGAAGAGCATGTTATTGTGTGGCTCGCTTTTAAATCGAAAGCTACACTCATACGTTTCTTAGAGAAGATTTGATTGACTATACTTTTCTCATAGAAAAGTTGCTGAGAGTCTGCTATTCTTATAAACATATTGCTGAGAGACTTATGTCGGCATAAAATGTTGCTGAAAAGTAAATGTTGCAATTGAAGAGTTGCAGAGTGGTTAATAGTTGATGAGAGAATTATTGAGAAAATTGCTGAGAAAATATGTGAAGAAGCTATTTGTTTCTCGAAATATGAGTCGATGAAATGTTGCTAAAAAAACAAATTCTGAGGTGTTACTTCTCTTTAAAAAATATTGCTAAGGTTCTACCTTTCATACAGGATAGTTGTCGAAGGGTTCCTTTGCTTATGGAGTAGTCATTGAGAAGCAATTTATTGGCTGGTTGACTCAAAATCAACTTCTAAATCGATAATTACACTCTTACGTTTTTTAGAGAAGACTTGATTGAGAATACTTTTCTTAGAGAACCTTTGCTGAGAGGCTACTCTTCTTATAAACATGTTGCTATGATGCTACTGCCCACATGATGAAGGTATTTGGTTCTCGAAAAATTCTATGAGGTCCAGGTTTATTTGAAATGATGTTGAAAAACAAAAATGAGTTATTACATTTTTAAAAACATTTGTAACAATTTTGAAAGGCTACTTTCCCTAGGGAATCTTCATTGACAAGAGCTCTATTGGGACGCTCGCTTTTAAATCGAAAGCCACATTTCTTAGAGAAGACTTGTTAGATGATACTTTCCTAGAGAAACATTGCCAAAAGGCTTCTTAAAAACATGTTGCTGAGATGCTATTGTCAACATAGAAATGTTGATGAGAGACTTGCTGAGAAGTTATGTGAAGAATATATTTGGTCCTCGAGATAATTGATGAAAGGTTTCTTTAAAAACAAATTTAAAGGAAAGATGCGAAGAAATGTGTTGTGAATCATTACTAATTAGTATCACAGGCTTCAATGGAGAGGCACATACGAGAATTTCAGACATCAGGATCTAAATTTGACTTCAGGCTTGGCATGTTAAGTTAGACGTCGTCAAGTTTGACTCTGATATTCTTTTATATATTGACATTTCATACAAAGCCAACTTAAGAGGTCAGGACTGAATCCTCGTATGTGTTTCCCCCTTAAAATACTTTAAATAATCTCCAAGAATTCCATATCGTTTTCCCACACCCTATTTAATAATCTATGTCTTCGAACAAATTCCCCAAATCTACTACAAAATCCAATATTAACTGACTCCTTGTCAAATAACTATCATTTTTATAAATATCAGTTATACACAACATTCATTTATATTTTGAAAACAATTTTATTCTTTATTTCCAGTTAACAGTTATAATACCACAACGCCTACCGAAACACCAGATCCATCGTTCAGCGCACAGCTGGCACCCTGCCCGATTTGTTCGCGAACATTTAACCCCGTAACGCTACGGAAACATGTTGGCATTTGTGAAAAAATGGCCACCAAAAGGCGTAACATTTTCGATTCATCACGGCAGCGTCGAGAGGGTACCGAATTGGCCACATATCCATTACCAAAGAATTTTGGTTTACCCGAAAAGACTTCGTCGAGTACGACAACATTGACAAGGACGAAAAGTGAAAGGGGTCAGTCGCCAAATCCATTGCAACAGGTAAAGGGAAACAATCAAATTAAAATTTAATGGAAAAATAATATTCTGTATCTCTCTTCCAGGTCGCCTCTCCCATAATGCAGCGCAAAAAGCCCACAGAAGAATTTGTACGCTCCACCGCCCGTGCCTCAATGCGTAAGCTATCCACCTCTTCGGCCACCGATGGCATGACAACATCCAGCAATTTTAGTCGTGATCGTTTACGTTCCTCAGAACGATCACTGACACGTCGTGGTCCCATCCAGACATCGGTACCCTCTGAACAATGTCCCCACTGTGATCGTTGTTTTGGCCTAAAAGCTTATGATCGTCATGTGGAATGGTGCAAAGAAAAGGCTCTCCAGGATTCCATTAAGAAACAAGCCTCAAGTAAATCAGAAGAGAATGCTGCAAAAGCACGCCTGGAGGCGAGAACGAAATATAAAGCACCGTGTTTGAAGTAAGTATAAAGAAGGATATTTTAGGGATTGAAAGATATGAAAAAGAGATTAAGAGAAAGCTTCGCCACTACTCTTAGCATGTTTGGTATTGAAAATGGGATATATCGGTGCACGTTTTGGCATAGCCCCAGCATTACGACTCCACCAAATATTCGGATTTTTTCAAGCGAACTAACTGTTGGGTAGTAAATCGTTCTACCAAAAATTGACAATATTGGTCCGCTATCTAGGGTAGCCCTCATTACACCCTTCCTTTCAAATATCGATATTTTAGGGAGTTCTGACATATTCTCCACCCAAAATGACTGCAATTAAGTATTTTGGATTCTCATTGGCTAGAATATTTGCTTTTCGACAATTGTCAATATTGACCCAAGTTTCAGGGTAGACTTTTTAAACGGTACTCCAAAAAATCTGCATATAGGGAAAGTTTTTCAACGAAGTTGTCTGTAATTTGGTATTTTGGGTTGTCATTGGGTAGTAAATAACACTACTAAAAATTGTCAATATTGGTCCTCTATTTAGGACAGACCCCATTATGCCGGTTCCTCAAAAATTTCGATATTTAAAGGAGTTCGGACTTGTTTACCATCCAAATTGGCTAAAATTTAGTATTTTGGGTTATCATTGACTAGAATATGTCCCTACCAAAATTGTCAATATTGACCCATGTTTCAGGGAAGTCTACATTACCGTTACCCCTAAATGTTTTTGGAAAGTTTTTCAACCTAATTGACTTTAATTCGGTATTTTGGGTTGTCATTTTGTAACAAATCGTCGTACTAAAAAATGTCAATATTGAACCACTTTTTAGGGTAGTCCCCATTATACTGGTACTCAATATCGGTATTTTAGGGAGTTTGGCATGTTTCCCATTCAAATTTGCTGTAATGTAGTATTTTGTATTCTCATTGGCTAGAAAATACCCCTACCAAAAAGTATCAATTACCATATAACAGTACCTCATATTATTCGGTATTTTGGCGATTTGGGGCAGGGTTTTAAATCGAAATAACTCTAATTTTAAGTTTTTCAACCGAATCGTCCCTAATTTTATATTTCTATTTGGCTGTAAAATGTTCCCACCAAAATTATCTATATCGGTCTACGTTTTGGTATAGGTCCATATAACCGCATCCCCCCAATTTTCGATATTTTGAGGATTTCATACATGTTTTTTAACTCAGTTTGTTCTAATTTGATATGTTGAGTTCTCATTAGGTGGACAATCTTCTTACCAAAAATTATAAAGATCGGCTGATATTTGGGAGTGGCGCCCAATTATGGTCCAATCTTTTCTAACCGAAGGAAAGTGGCTTTTCGACGTCTTTATCCGTTAAGGCAACTTCGTTGTAAAATATTTTCAACGGGAATGTGGGCAAGTTGTTCAACCGAACGTACCTAATTTGATATTTCTATTTGGTTGTAAAATGTTCCCACCAAAAAGTATCAATATCGGTCAACGTTTTGGTATAGACACCATATAACCGTAACCGCCAATTTTCGATATTTTGAGATTATCGGACATGATTTACAATCTAGTTGTCCCTAAATTGATATTTTGAGTTCTTATCGGGTGGACAATATTCGTACCAAATATTATAAAGATCGGCTTATATTTGGGAATTAAGGTCTAATCTTTTCCAACCGAAGTGACTATATTTTAGCGTTGCGAAGTGGCTGTAATTTTGCATTTTGGCGCCTTAGCGGATAAACAGCTTATTTAGAAAATATTTCCAACATAAATTCATGATTCTACATAGCCCCCTATAAAAGGATATTGACCCATTTTTCAGGGTAGACCTCATATAACGCTACCCCTTATTATTCGGTATTTTGGGCAAGTTTTTTAACAGAATCGTCCCTAATTTGATATTATTGGTTCTATTTGGCTGTAAAATGTTCCCACCAAAAATGATCAATGTCGGCCCCGCCAATTTTGGCCCTAAATTGATATTTTGAGTTCTCATTGGCTGGATAATTTCTTACCAGTTATAAAGAATGGGCAATATTTGGAAATGGCGCCCAAATGAAGATTTTTCCAACCAAAGTGACTATATTTTAGCAAGTGGCTGTAATTGACTGATAATAGCCCCCTATACAAAAGTTATTGATCCATATTTCAGGGTAGCTCCCCCATATAAGCCCCCTCATTATTCCGTATTATTGGCAAGTTTTACAACCGAATTGCCCCAATTTGTTATTTTGGGTTATAGTTGGATGTCAAAATTGTCTGCCAAAAATTATCAATATTGCTCCCCGTTTTGGTATAGCCTCATACATATAAAATAGTACTCGTCATTTTTAGATACTACTAAAAATGATAAAGATCGAATCGGTCGGTATTTAGGTATGGCGCCCAAATTAAGATTCAACCTTTTCCATGCGAAGTGACTATATTTTAACATTATGAAGTGGCTGTAATTTGGCGTTCAGTCAATAATGACCGAAGTTTCAGAGAGACTCACATTATTCGAATTTTTGGCGATGTTAGGGTACGTTTTAAACCAAAATAAGTCAAATTTGATATTTTGGGTTGTCATACCAACAAGTATAAACATCGGTCCATGTTTGGGTATTAAAGTTCAATATTTTCTAACCGAGGTGACAATGTGGCTGTAATTTCTTTCTACCAAAAATTACAAAGATCGGTCGCCATTTGGGTATGGCGCCCAAATTAAAATTCAAATAAAATTACATCCAAAGTGACTATTTAGCATTACGTAGAATCTGCCATTTTGGCATTCTGGGACTTATTTACAAAATATTTTCAATATAACTCCACTTTTCTACATAGCCCCTTATCCAAAGGTCCCACCTCATTTTCGGTATGTTCAAGGTTCTAGTACAGGTTTTCCAAACTGAGTAGCTGTAGTTTGGTATTTCTTTGTTCTCGCAATTGGTTTATCTCATCAAAATTCCATGACATAGACTTCACATAAAACTTCTGATTGATTTTGAGTATTTTGTAAAGTTTGACCTTAAAGGGCCCCATACACTATACATCATGCCGTACAGCATTTATCATAGTATGTGTTATTTTTTGAAAGTTTATTTATGTATGTGTGACACACACAATGCATGAAGAAAATCAAAATAGTTTTGATTTTGAAAATGAAACCCTTTCAATCTGGTGAATTTTGTTCATTTTCAAAGTTGACAGTAAATAAATTTGAGTATAAAAATAATAAAATTGTGACGAAATAAAAAAGAACTGAATTTACGATTCAAAATGTGATTTTTTGGACAAAAATCGATTTTTTGGAATAGTGATTGAAGAGTTTGCCATACACTAGTCAATCTCACATATACAAAAAGGGGTTCATCGGCATGACGGCATGATGTATAGTGTATGGGGCCCTTAAAAACCTTATTATATTATATTATAGT